TTGACTGTTTTACATGCTTGAATATACTCGTTAGCTGTAAAATAATCACCCAATGGCAAACAGTACCACAGGAACTCAGCAATGAACCACCACCTGAGCCTTTGGTCCTGTCCACAGATCCAGGGCTGGGTGCACCTTTAAAAACTGATGAATTCTGCGGCTTTTGAGTATTTATGCTAGGATCATCAGCCCACAGATTTTTAGAGCAACATTCCCTGTTGATATCAGTGGAAAATTTTGCTTTTTAAAAAAACAGATGGGTAGATATGGCCCATAAAGACCAGTGACACTCAAATGTTTGATGGGGAGACAAATCCTAACCACCTGTGGTCTTTAAAGAGCCCTCTGTACTTTTAATAAGGCAAATAGCTAAGGGGACAGGTGTAGCCAAATTCTAATTTATATAACTATATTTATCTAAATTTTTCTATATAGTTTTAATTGGTTTGTATTCTTCATCTCCTGATGTGTTGGGTACAGCATTAGTGTGTGCAGTTCCTTTCCAGCACAGAGGTGGCTGCATTTCAGCAGTAAGTAGTATGAGTGTCTTAAACAGCAGGTGCAGTAATTGCTTTAGCCTCTAGAAAGCACTTTGGCACTTTCCAGGATGACAGCAATTCTCCAAAGTGCAATTCCCAGATCATGCAAAGAAAGACACACGCGTGCCTAACTTCATGCCCGGTCGACTAGTGCCATTGCTAGCTTACTGACTTCAGTAGGGCCACCCCCAGCACATGCAGTAAGGCTTTGCAGAAGTAGGATCTAAGTCAATATTTCTAGAACTGTCCCCCTCGTCCAAGATGAAATTGCAGCTGTATAATTCAGTTTGCTTCTTTATGATCAGTAGATCAATGGAGAAAACAATGAAGGTTGCTGCCATATTCTGAGCAGAAGCAGCATTCCTGTTCCACCCCTCACTGCAAGCACAAATGCTGGTTCACGCAGGCAAAGGAGCAGGTAAAACACCTGCAGTCTCTTCCCAGTAGTTTCAATGTCTGCTCCTTGAGTGGCTATTGCCTGAAGCCCTGCACATCCTAGATCTCTAGCTCAGCATGACAGTCATACAGACAAGACCATAAAACCTAGCTATTACTTTTCAATCCAAAATCATTCTGTTGAGCAGCTAGTCCAAGAAGGAAGCTGAGCAAGCCTGAAATCTTATTTTAAGGTGCAACTCACCAGTTCCACTGCAGCTGCTAACAGGTACATTTTTAACCCACGGACTGCACGCTCTTGGGGAGGAAGCGTTCTTTAGTAGCTAGAGTAGCAAGCTGGACATTTGAAGTCTTCCTTTTATTCCCAGGTCTACCAGCCCACTGGGTGTTTGAGGCTCAGCATTCATAAAATGCTCAAAGATGTCTGAATGAAAGGAGTTGCATGTAGGCAGTCCTGTGTTCATTTCAAACATTGCAGGTTGCTCAGAAATGGTGAATGCCACAGTGCACAAAAATTAAATGCACACTAAGTATGAGACTAGCCCAATTTTCCACAAATCCACAGCCGCTGCGCCTGCAAACACAGCTAGCAACAGCTCTTCTCTCCACTGGCTCATATGGGAACTCCCCTCACCCGCCCCATGCCCTCACCTCCCAAAAAACCATTTCCCTGCAGTTTGGCACATCTAGTGTTTAGAAGCAAGACCACAAAGTTAGGAATAATTCAAACAGGACAACAGCATGTAAACAGTTGCTTAACTGTGCACAAGGGTCACTATTAAATTGCAAAAAGCCAGCAGTCTACAGCCAGAGAAACTAAAACTATATGGGCAGGCTTAGAATAGCAAAAGCTTCCCAACCTTTTACTGCCTTTTGTTTGACTGACACAGGCAGCTGAGGATTGAGCTTCAACTACTGCCCTGCAATCACAGGAACTTAGTCATACAGCAAAAGAAATCAGTTAACTCAATTTTTAGATTTTTTTTAATTTTACTCTGAGCCCAGGTGTGAGGCCAAAATTAAAACAAAGAACAAAAGGTATCAAAACCAAGAACCATTTTACTACAGCTGGTAAAATAATGTGTAGTAAATGCTTTATCCAACACATTTAACACTTGTTCCTGTTCAGCAATCCAGACTCTGGTTTTTGCCAATTTGATATCTGTAATTTTTCAGATAAGTGGCATAAACACATGGCTGCCAATGGTCTGATTGGGACTTAATTCACTTTGTGGCCCAATATTTGTGACATGTGATGGTCACTTCAGTGGGATGTATTGCTTCCACTTCCTCTTTAGATGGCAAGAATTAGAAATAGGAGGGCAAGAACCTTTGTATTCATGCCCTTGTTCCCAAGCAAAAATGCCTATTTCCCCAACTTGTTCTGTGAATAACCAGGCCTGCAAAAGTGAATGAGCATGCTGAATCAAACACCTACTTGTATGCATGATTTTGTAGTAATTTGCTCAGCTTTCATTACTACAAAAATAAGATCACTTTAGAATAGATTCAAGTCCACCACTGTACCTGATAGGCTACTATTTGCCATAAGCAGTACAGGGTCACCAACAGAACATTGGGGGCACATGGCTCACTCTGCAGCGGCTGCCTTGTGTGAAGAATGCTCAGCAACAAGAGCAGAGATGAGGCCTGTGCCTCAACACCTAACCCCGTCCCCCCATCCATAACCAGGAGTGTCTCGTTCTGAAAATTTTAAAGTAACAGATGGCTAATTGTTTCAGGTGAAGCTAACTCTAAGCCCTGCAAGACCTGCCATCTCACCCTTCAGTGTGAACATCCTTACTTTACCGGAGTATAGCGTGCAAACAGGTTCCATTCCAGCTCTGGGAGGTGGAAACCAAATGCTGCAAGTTCCATAGATAGATGTAGGGTGACCAGATGTCCTAGTTTTATAGGGACAGTCCCAATATTTCTTATATAGGTACCTATTACTGCCACACACTCCCATCCTGATTTTTCACACATGCTCTCTGGTCACTCTAGATCAGAGATCCGCAACCTTTGGCACACGGCTCACCAGGGTAAGCACCCTGGTGGGTCGGGCCGGTTTGTTTACGTGCCACGTCTGCAGGTTCAGCCGATCGCGGCTCCCACTGGCCATGGTTCACTGCTCCACGCCAATGGGCCCGCGCCGCTTCCCGCAGCCCCCATTGACCTGAAGCGGTGAACCGCAGCCAGTGGGAGCCGCGATCGGCCCAACCTGCGGACGCAACAGGTAAACAAACTGGCCTGGCCCACCAGGGTGCCTACCCTGGGGAGCCGCATGCCAAAGGTTGCCAATCCCTGCTCTAGATATATGTGCACAAATCCCATTGACACCATGATGAGTTGCACAGGTATTCATGAGGGCAGTATTTATCCTGGAGTGTCAATGGATTTTGTATATTAAAACAAACAAACAAAAAACTATCCAGCAGAGAATTGTACTCCCAAGAGCTTAGTCTGTTTTCCCTAAGCCCATGTGTGGAGCAGGGAACCCAATGCACACTGAGGGGGCAACTCTTCACTTCCCAGATATTCAAGCTAGCTTTTTGAGAAGTGCCTCAGAGATTTGAGCATTTAGGGTCTCTCTGTACACTGGTCTATAGCTAAAAGAATTACTGCAAAAGTCAGTCTTTAAACCAGTTTAATGAAAATACAAGGCTTATGTGTATCATCTTAAAGTCACCAAGGTAATTACGGGAAGAGTAACAAGTTATATGCCTTAGTTCAGCTCTAATCTGATGTTTTATCATCTTCCCTTCCATACCAGGTAATACTCAATGTAAAATTACTCTTCTTGTGATAAGAGTACATTTGCCATAAAAAGGAAGCCACCCTACTGACTATGGTGACTAGTAGGAAATGCTAGTAAATATTTAAATAGCTTAAATCTACCACATTGCTCTTTAGTACCCCAGAACAGATGCTGTCTTCCAGGCTGTTCCTCCCATCTAGTAGTGTAAATTCAGATGTACACCAATGTGGCTATATAGTGCAAAGCACGTAAAACGTATGCCAGGGGAAGAATCTCCCTGAGACAGCCCCCTGAAGGGGGGATGTCTCTTTAGCAGCATGTGACTGCATTTTATAAATATATGCATATATATTTATCTTATTTATAAGTCCCCAAATTCAGAACTAGAATTGTGACCTTAAAGTCAGTCTTTGCATCTCCATGTTAGGAGGATCACTGCACATGCATTTCCAGTATCCCTTCTAGCAAGGTTCTCTTCCACTTGGAGCTGTATTCTAATACCTAGGAAATCTTTTTAGCACTTGCATTACTGCAACAACTTCAGGAGTTACCACATTTAATCACTGATACTTGCCAAGAACTGTAACATCAAAGGAAAAATGCAAACTTTATCTCCTATTTCTCACTCTAAGGATTAAAGTAAATCACTGTATCTTTCACACATTCTAAATAGAAGCTTAGCATACTCCTGCTCACATGGCCAGTTGATTGTACTGAGTGGGCCTCCACTCTGCAGCCAGACACTAGTGGGAGATGTAGGGGGCATTTTTCAAGTCAGACGGTGTAGTGAGTGTATTGTACTCTCCAGACCAGTAGGCACAGAGTACGGGATAAAATGCACTTGGTCCATGGAGGGACAGGAGAACTGGAGAATACGGAAAGAGGGCCTTGTCGTACTACAGCAATAGATCAAGGGGTGAGGTTCACTGGCTCCTAAAGGAGTTCCCATCCAATCGTCCTCAGCAGAAACCTGCTTGCTTCAACATGGGTCAAAAGGACTGGGCCCATAACGGAAGCTCACGATCACTGATGACTAAGGTGTGTGGCACTACAATGATTTTATAAGTAAACTAAAGCTCACTGAGCCTTATCAATAGCTAAACTCTTAAAATATTTGGAGGCACAAATATGTGTGTGTATTTGTTTTATTCATAATTTGCGTTGTCTTGGGATACCAAAAGTATTTCTAATTAAGGTGATTTAACAAAATTGCTGACCTCATTTCAAAACATCCACTGATCCATTTCTCATTCAATGGCAATATCAAAATGTTAAAAGGAACATAAAAACAAACATGCACACAACTGTACAGTTTTCATAAAGGTCTATTTCATTATTTGTGGGTAGCGCATTAAACAGTTAAATACATTTAAATAATGTATAAGTGACTGCACTAATGCAGAATTGATAACTAGATAGGTAACCAATTTAACTAGAAACCAGCTAACAAGTAACTGTCTAAAATACTTTGAATACAGCTCTTGTTCTAGGTCATCCCTGTTGGGATGAAAAGCCTGCTGATCACACTGGAAATACATTTTTAAGGCCAAATTCTTCTGATATCCCTTCCTTGCAGCAGTTCCTTCGGCTGTTTCAAGCTTCCAACTCCAGACCAAGACCAAGTTTATGACCTCCAGAATTGATGCTCTTCCCATCTACCAGGGCGGAGAGTGTAAGCTTCACACCTGTAAGATTAAAACAATCCTGTGTTAACATGTAATCTGAAAGGACTAACTATTGTGTCAATCAGCAATTCTTTGTTTCATCACAAGTCCAAGTTAAATTGTAATTACTTTCCAAGGTAATAATTCAATAGCAAAGCAAGTTTCTAAAGCAATTTCCACTTACGTACATCAACTCCATTCAGCTTTTAAAAGAAAGTTGTTGTTCAGCTTAATTTTGTACAATTGTAGGTACCAAATGACTATCTGGGGGCCATGTAAAATGCAACTGCTTCACACAGAAGCAAAAAACCATGCAAATTCTATATAAGTATCACATTTTATATATTGGACTTATGAGATCATTTATTTACTCAAACTAATATGGAAATGAGCCCTTTCACGCATTATAGCTCGCACACAGAAAAATATGCTATGTACATGAGATAGCCATTTGGGAAAAGTGCGATGATGGCTCCCCCCCTCTTAGAGGTAGGATTAGAGATACTGCACAAGATGTTTTGTTTGGGCAAAAATACAACAACTTCCATAAACGTGAGGGGAAAAAAAGTGCAATTTTAAGAATGAAGCTATCTTAATCCTAGCTGTTTAGAGAGCTATCAGCAACCAGTAAAATCAGAGATAAGACCTTTGGAGGAAGACAGTGAAGAATGAAAGAGACCATCTTCTTTTCATCAACTAAAACTATCCCCCTAACAGAGAAAAAAAATCTAGAAGTCAAGTATTCTTTTGTCTGAGCCCACAAAAGACCAGATTCAGTAAGCTACTGAGTCCCTTCTGACTACCCTAATAAAATCAAATGAAAATCCCATATACTGAAAGTTATTTAGATTCCACTCTCTGCCCCAAAACCTTGATCAGAACAAAGGAATGCTAACACAAAAGGGTGGATTTATAACTCTCTCTAATCTGAGATCCAGAAAGCATTTTGAAGCAACCCAGAAACCAAAACCTTTTCAGGCCTTCTTAATGCATCAGAAAGCAGCACACAGGAAAAAGCCCTTTTTTTCCCCCCAATTGATTGCAAGTCACCTGTAAGGTTAAAAATCTACAAGAAACCCAAATATTTGGAAATACAGAACAATTAAATACTAAGTTATGTCAACTCTGTCCCCCACTTAACAATTCCAACTTCCCTGGTGTACTCCTTTTCCCCCCTCAAGACATAGTGGTGTTTTGGATCACAGATTTAGAAAAAGATCCTCCAGCCTGTGCATGCAATATGAGCAGCCAATGTACTTATAAAGCTTTCCATTTGTAAGTGTGCCCTAAACAGCCCTGGTTTGATGTCTCCATTGTACACATGCTATATCTGTCACCTGGATCATGCACTTGCACATAGAGCTATAAGGAACCCTCCGTATTAGACAGAATCAGGCCCTTAATAAGTAGTGACTACCAGTTCCTGATTAGGAAAACAGTATGAATATAGTAAAATAGTTTGCCGAGTAAAGAAGGCACAACCCGGAGGCAATTAAGAATAAAGCATTCTGTTTTTAGTGGTGTCTGATAACACAGTGTTTGTAAATGGATGGATAAAACAGTCTGAGTTTCTCAGATATGGAGCAGACTAAGAGCAGCTCAGCTACCTTTAACTGCATACATGAAGTGTTCGGAATTTCTCATTAGTTTTTAATCCTAACTCTAAATTTTCTTATGCGTTTTTGCAAACTGAAAAAGGAGAAAAAAAACGGAAAGGATTTTTATCTTTAAGTTATGGATACGAACAGACTTGTGTCTGGGAATTTCCTTAGTTTCTAAGAACAGAAAGAGCCATCTTCCTCCTCCTGCCCATGTGCTTGTCCTACAAAAGCAGCAGCTGCAATCATCCAAGGTATGCAACCGAAATTTTGAGAGGCATTAACTCTTCTTGCCAACCACAAAGTTAAGAGAGGACTTATTTCCTAGTCAGAGAGATGAGTCCCAATATGTTTTAATACACTAGCAGTTAACTTTTCTAAACCAGAAGTTGCTTCGTTTCTGAAACAAAACTATGCTGACTGAGTTCGCTCCACAAGACAGCCCCATCGTGTATGTGGTGTTAATGCTATTTGGACAGAAGCCGCTCAACCCAAGACCAAAAACAGGTCAGGTTTTTTTCACATAAGTCTGGTGTCTTAATGGTTTAGTTATTCACTATCATGTTTTATAACCAAAGTGATTTAAACAAACAGCACAAATGGACAATCACTGAGAAAATTGTTACCAAGGTATTAACTGAACACAGATAAACTGTGTTAGCTGGTGATCAAAGGATGTGTAAATTACTGCACTTGCTTAATATCTTCATAATAGTTTTAATGTGAATCAGGTCTTCAAAAAACAAAACCAAACAGTTCTTTCACTCTGCTGCAAGAAGTTGATTAATGGATATCAGCCAGATAACAACTGGACATTTTCTATGAATGATGATTAGACCTTCCAGGATACTACCAACAAAAATGTTTTGGTTAAATTAAGATTACTAGAGCTTGCTTGTTGTCATAGCAGCCTAACACCACATTGAAAGTTAGGAACACATTTGAACACATTTGAAATCCATCCTACTGGAAAACAAAATGGAGGACACACTTAGCCCTAAATATTCCAGAAATGCCATTGGATTTAGCCAAGCAAAACTCAAACTCAGTAGGAGTTTTAGTTTATGGTGTATGAAACTGTCCAAGTACGAATTAGCCTCCAATATAGATTGAAAGGGAGAAAGACTGTAGAGATAGTCATTCTGAAGAGAGAAGCAATCTACTTTAACTGGCATATGAGTGTAGAGATAATATTTCAACAGCAGTTCCATGCATAATACCTAGGAATGCATGATTGAAGCGAAGTGATTCGTTTATAAAACATTTACCTGGCCTCAAGGTCTGGGTGTAACCCACTCCAACTAAACTGGAGTTGTTCACTTTTGCCTGCAACAAAATGAAAAACTGAGTAAGAAACAGCAATTCAAAGAAAACCATGAAAGAAAGTTCTTTGCTATAATCCTGTAGTGACTATAATAATAGGTGTCAACAAGAACAGACATCACAAATTTAAAGCCAGTTTATATTTTGCAGTATCTTTATATTTACTGGATACACTACACTCCCCTCCCCCGCAAAAAAACCACACACATACACCCTTCTTATCCCAGAGGGAAAATAATACATAGTTTGAGTGGGCAGGCAGAAATTTACCTTTCAAACCACATTCCAACAAATCCCTGTTAGGACTTTTCTAGGAAGAGAGCCAATTCACCTTTTTTTTTTTTTTTTTTTTGTATGCTTCCGAGATTAACTCTATCAGAACAAGCCACAACATTTAATAGTATTCATTTAAGAAACAGAATTTCATTGATTCATTCAAATCAAGGAATGGCCATTTAGTTTTACTGGGCTGGTACATTTCTATACTAACCATCATTGTAATGCTCTCAATCAATAGTATGTGCACCAGCACTAGAAGTTCACATTTGCAAGACTCTTATTCTAGACCCAATGACATCTGTTGCACTGACACGACCCACTTCAAAACTGAAGTTAAACTAGAGCAAGCCAAGCTCTATTGTGAATAGGGTGCTGACTGTTACAGGAGAGTTCTCAGCATGGGAACCCAGTGCAGTAATCTGAAAAAGTGTCTGAACTACCTCTCTAGAGTGATTTAATTTAATGTGTAAGACACTGAATTGTGTTACTATAGGCATAGTAAGACAACTTTCTGTAGAAAAAGTAAATCACAATTACTTTGTTGTATGAAACTAAAGTCACATACTTTACAAGATTTAGTTGTTAACATCTGGGCTATCACAGACCTTTACATTAGTGATACAGAAGAGTAACTAGCATACTTCTTGACCCTTCCATATCAATTCAGAATATGTATACTACTATAAAAGATATCCAGTTGTATATTTACACAGAGCAAGAGGAAGCTTAAAGCCATACTTACAGAGATAGAAGCAGTGGAATCCAACTGGTATTTAGCTGCAATGCCAAAACGAGTGCTGTTGCTGCCCGCTGTCCAAGCTAGATTTACAGCAGTATCAAGACTGTCGCTCACTTTCTGGTAAATTGAGCCACCAAATTCTGACCCATCATTGCTGCAAGATATTTGCAAGTGAAATTAAATTACAAGTTTATGTGTATAAAATATAAAGTCCTACACTTATATTTAGCTTTTAAAGTTTTACTCACCTGGGGATATTTTTCGTATTTTAAACGTAACACTAATTTATTTTTCCCTTATAAGACATTAAGAAGGAGGGCAGATAAATGTAGTTTGCAAGGCAGAATGAGGTACTTTAGCAGAGTCCATGAAAGAAGCTTACTCCAATAATTATATTGCCAAGGGTGATACTAATATATTCACTTGCACAATTAAGCTCATAAATACTCTAGGTAAATTCCTCCATCATAGAATATCAGGATTGGAAGGGACCTCCAATCAGGTCCAATCAGGAGGTCAACTAGTCCAATCCCCAACTCAAAGCAGGACCAATCCCCCAGACAGATTTTTGCTCCAGATCCCTAAATGGCCCCCTCAAAGACTGAACTCACAACCATGGGTTTAGCAGGACAATGCTCAAACCACTGAGCTAGCCCTTCCTCCAAAATCCGGGCTCCATTGAGTTCATGGCAAAAACCTCTGTTTAGTTCTGAAACTAATGCAGTATGAAATGTTTGATACAGACATGCAAGTTATAAATCAGAAGCAAATATTCAGAATAATCTTGTGGTTACTGGAAACAACGTTTCTAAGTAGCATTATAGTATTACTGTTAAGAAAAAGGTCAAAGGACATTTTATTCTAGAAAAGCAATATCATTTTCAAATCTTTTAATCAACTTTGAAAGCAGTTCACTGCAAGTCTGAACAATCCTGGTTAAAATGTATTTATATTGTCTTAATTCCCCCTTCTTCCCCTCCTTTTTTAGGAAAGAGGGGGGTGCGCAAGTGTGTGATTTGACTCCAGTGAATACAAGTAAGTTGCTTCCTACCTTAACACCATGCAGATTTAAGTTAACATCACTGAGACACCAGTAATGCACCATTATTACAATCATTCAGCCTGAGAAGTCAGCAGGAAGGTGAGAAAACACAAAAACTATATGCTTTGCCATGTATGGTTAGATTTCATAAATTTAAGTACGTCCTATGTTAAAGTTCCCTTTCAGGGCTAAAGGAAAGGGCCTAAGAATTAAAAGCACTTACAAAGCATATTTATTGTAACAAGATCATGCCAACTGTAACTGCTAATAACTATTTCCTGTAAGAGATCAGGGAACAAGTGTATTATTGTAATGCAGTTTTCCCAATCGCAAGGAGGGGACAAGTACTTGTATTTACAAAGTAGACTGAACACTTTCAGTATTGCTTTCTGTAGTTTGCAAACTACAATGCATATATTACAGAAATTACTTCATGTAACAAAGTTAGAAAACAAGCTATAAACACTAAACTTAGAAAAGAGGTATAGAAGTAATTACTGATCAGGTAAAGAAAATCTCATGTGTTACCCTGGTTAATTCTGTACGAGGTTCTCTCACACAGAGCATATTTGACACTTTCACAAACAAGTGCTATTAATTCAGAATTTGAAGCTTCTGAATACTCTTACTACAAGCTTCTCAAATACAATATTTTAATACTCACACGTTAGTGTGCAGTTGGAAGTCTCCAGTTTTGTAACCCACAGAGAAGTTATTCCTTGTCAGCTTTGATTTGGCACTATCAAAAGTCATCTGATAACCAGCAAGCCAGCCCTCGTAACCAACGACAGCGGAGCCATGGATCGCAGGTCCAGCAAAATCAAAGTCAACATCACAACCAAGATTTACGCATTCACGTTTATAAGATGACTTAATTTTGCCACTTTTCTTCCTGAAGCAAAGAAATTATTTTTAAAAAGGCTTCATCCTCTACCATCAGTCTAATTTTTACTACTTAACCTGCAGTAGGCACACAAAGGCCATTAGAGAATAGGTGTCAAGTCTGGGCAAGACATTACTGACCAGTCATGGAACCAAAATGCAACAGCCCATGAGAAAGTTTCAGAAAACACAAGGATTATACATTTGAAGACTAAAGAATGAAGAAACTTCTTTACTTCCTTATCCCACCCCAATCTCCCAATAAAGTATTCTCTTATATCTGTGCAAGCAGAGCCCTGAGTATTATTCTAACAAATCCAATTCTCTCATTAGGGTGCCAACTATCTTGTTAATGAGTAAAACATTTTGCATCAGTGCCCCAAGGAGCCACATTCAAATGTAACAGCCTGGATCAACAGCAGTAGTTTTGAGCCACCAAATTCAAGCCATATACATATTCTTCATTCACAAAGTTATATTAACCTATTAAATATTCATTTGACCTTTACATGCAAAGTTATTCCCCTTAACATGCCAAAAAGTTCTCTCTTAAAAACAAAACTCTTACCCCGTGTTTGGTGAGAAGGTTGTGTCAAACGTCAGCTTCAAACCTTTGGCAATCTAATTAGGGGAACGAAAGCTATTAGCTCAGATCTACTGGTTACGTGAAAAAATTAAATACAAGTAGTACATCAATCTGTTACCTGATCTTCAATCGCAATTTCTGTTCCCAGAGTGTTATCTGTGTTCCATTTTTCTGTGAAAGTCAGACCATACTCAGCCCATTTGTATTTGGTCTCCAAGCTCCCATTCACTTTCCCTGTGTCTGTGTTTGATGAACCAGCTGTTGTGAATTCCTAATAAGACAGTATAGGTTATTCCCGAGTTGCACACATCCCAGAAAGTCTCACATGGTAAAGGTATCTTTTTTTAAAAAAAAAACTTAAAACTAAACCATATAAACAACTGTAGGGTAGCATTGTCCTGTTCAACCAGTTTGAATTATACCCACCCCCTTTTGTAACAATTTGCTAAAAAGGATCTTCCAGATTTTCAAACTTAACCAGGAAATGGCAGTGTGTGCGCTGATACTACACAGTTCAGAAATGTAAAACCCAATTCCAAGCAAGGAAGTCCATTATGCTCTAAGCAATTGAACTATACTATTCAGTGTAATTCATGCTTTACCCTTCTTTCTGAAGCAATTTGTTTCAAGTCATTGTTTCCTTAAAAAGCAGAAAAAAAATTATTAGAAGTACAGAGATAAGTTTGGTGCTCATATTATTGAAGGGACTAATATCACTGATCAGAGCCAGGCACAATGCAGACAGCATCACAGACAACTCTGCCAACATGCTGCAATCCTCATATAATACGATTGCTATTCCAATCTTTAGTGCCCAAAGAGAGACTATCATGCTACAATTGTGAGATGGCTCTACATATACATTTTAAAATAAATAAATATTCAGGGACTAGAAGAAGAAGTTTTACAGTTGCAATCAAGAAATGATTTGAACATAAGTCTCTAGACAAAAGGGCAGCACTAGTCTATTGGTTCTTAACTAAGGATTTTAATAGTCACACGAGTGAGTCAGGACTCCCAAGTAAAAAATATAATTATATAGGGAGACTGTGACATTAACTGATAGTAAGTTTATTAACAAAATTCCATTCCTTACACAGAATTATATTTTTTAGATTCAGGACTCTCAATGTGTAACTGTTACACTAAGTTATTTTAAAATAAACATTGCAGTTATTTATATTACAAACAGCACCTTAGTTATTAAAACTGAAAGTTATAAACACTAGTTGCCTCCCGCTACTTATCCTTTTTCATCTCTCTTCTTGGAGAATGGAAAGACTAGTCAATATCTACCAAATTTTGAAAATCTAAAAATAAACATGGGCACAATGCTGAAGTGTTTGGCTAGCAACTGCTGCACGGAATATTTGTTAAACAGTCTTTCCACTCCATTTTATTAATTGTATGGAAAAATTTCTGATGGTCTTTCATTTAAAAAAAAATACCAAGTCAAAATTTTGACCCAAGATATGTCTGGCTGTGGGTTTGTCTATATGGTGCAGCAGTGCACACTAGATGGGTGTGAATTCAAAAGCACACCAACATGTTGCACACTAACTGGCCCAGGTAGACCCTGCTTGAGCATATGTATTAGGGAACTTTTATTTCATGCCAGCAGGGTCTATCTGGGCCAGTTAGTGTGCAACACATTGGTGTGCTTTAGAATTCACACTCCTTTAATGTGAACTGATGCACCATGTAGACAAGCCCTGTTTTCCCCTACGCCCACTAGAATTAGCTATCCACTCCTTAAGGTACTATATGCATTTACTACTACTAGAGGGAGCATTCGTTTTAAGAGAAGAGTATATTTAAACCAAACATTTCTGGAGTATTGTATCAATCTCAACATACACTGAAGGAATATCTAGATTTCCTGTAGATAAAGGATGTATATGAATCCCAGAATTTGTTGCTAAAGATTTACCTTAGTTAAGACAAAAAACTTAAAATTTATTAAATGGAGGTAGCTTTATATGAAAAATTAACTTTGACTGAGTGATGTTTACTTGCAGCATATTATTTAGCCACTAGATGTCTGTGCAAAACACAGCGTTCCAGACATGGCAGCAGTCCCTAGTAAACAAGGGAAGAAAAAACTGGAATTCAAGTTACACAGAAGCCCGTTTGCCTGTAGCGGTCACCTTTTTCTTTAAGGAATACCTACTATTTAAGGTAGGCTGTGATTATATAAATCAAGACAGCAACTAAAGGCTGAAGACTATTAGTGATAAATAGCTTATGCCTTATCTACACTTAAGAGGGTTTGCCAATATATCTATACCAGAAGAGCACTGGGGGGGGGGGGGGGGGGGGG